CTAAGAACCCAATTAGTACCTTTGCCATTTTTCTAATCACAGCAGAAAGACATGGCTTGAACTGAGTATCATTTTCTAGCTGATGTTCAGAATTACCTTGAATTTTCTATTAGTAGAGGCAAAGGGGCCAACATTAATTTCATTATGCAGCTGCTATGTGCCAAGCACCACGCAAGACATTTTAACTAAGAGTGGTGAGCTCAGGACCTTCTCAACCAGTCTCCATTAACTGAGGAGCATTACATCTACATCTCCCATCTTATGTAAACAACAGAACATTTCCATGTGTTACAAATATAGAGCATAATCACCAGTAGTACTTGTGACTTTGTCACCTGTAGAAATCACAGCTGTATGCACATCACACAGCAGTTGTTGAAGATGTCTCAAAATACCATTGACGCTCAACACTGTTTCAAAAGTACCATGGTCATTAGTTTCACTGCAAAATCTCATTTAATGTGATGATAAAAAGCATACATGCTATGGCATCACACACTTTTAAATGTTTTGATAATTGCAATATAATTGGTTTCCTTTGTAATGCTATGGGTTTTATTTTATATATTTAAAAATCTTAGTCTAAGAAGAGTTCCCAACACTTTAACCAGATTTATAAAGGAGTCCTTAGCACAAAGGGAGTTCAGATCCTCATAATTATAATTAGTCCCCCTTACACTACTGTTTTTTTGTGCTGGGCTTTAAACCCTGAGCCTGGTGCATACTAAGCACAAGCTCTACCACTGAGCTCTATCCCTAACCCCTTAGTCATTCTTAATATGGTTTATCTATTCTCCATTCAAAAAAGTCCAGGGTAATCCTTTTAAAAGGTAAATAAGATCAATATACTCCCTTATTTAAACATGAAACAAATGTAAACTATTGACTTTGATTGACCTGATTCTGCAAGATCAGATTTTAGCTTTCCTACATTTCCTTTCATGTTTTTACAGTCCTCTACCTTCCACTCTCTGCTCCAGCCATACCGACCTTCTTTCAATTCTTGGGGACTTCTGAGCCATTTCACACCCCTGGGTCTTTATCTTTGCCTAGAACGCCTATGTTTAGGGGAGCCACTTAATTCTCATACTGTAGTGATGAGGCACAGCAGCCCTTTTGCACACTTTCTGCCAAGCCATCCTAAGCAGCAGCCCTCCCCTATTCCACCTATGCCTCCATTCCTGTTTTCTTCTTTAAGGTTACTTATCACAACAAAATTATACTCTTTGTGTTTTTGTTGAGTACCGAATCCCAGTATGTGTTAAGGTGCCTGACGAAAGACAGAAACCTAATATTAAATGAATGAATGAATGAATGAATGATTGAATGAATGGAAAAATAGTTCAATGAAGCTTTTATTAAACCATTTACAAGTGTAGAAATTGAGGCTCAACTATGTTGTATTATGTGAAAGTCATTTTAATTGGTGTCCTCAGCCTTCCCTGACCCCTGCCCCACTTTTGTTACATTTGTACCATTAGTGGAAAGCAGAATAAAACTAATACATTTCTTGGGATTTTAGTGTCCCAGTGCTCAAGCATATGTCACCAACAAACCCTAAAAGCCAGTATTTCGAGGAGGGTTAACCTAAATTGAAATATATTTCTTGGATATGGTGATTTTCTCTGTTTGTATATCTGTCTCTTTTTATATACACAAAATATTTTCCATCTCTGAATCTTATAAACATGCAAATAAAATGAAATGGAAAGGAAAAAATCTAGAAAAGATAAATTAAGGAAGGAACAAATGAGAAAAAACAGGGGCAAATGCTGATACATAAAAATACATGTTACAGCAAACTCACTTTATTACCTCATATGGCCCATAATTTTGGCCACATATCTCCTAGTATACACCACAAAGTGAGACACAGTCAGTCAGTTACATGACATATTAAAATAATCCAATTAATTCTAAGGAGGAGTATACCTACTTCTGTATTTAAATCGTGAAATGAATTCCTCTTGTGGGTTCTTATAATGAAAGCATGGCAAGATATAGTAATCAGCATTCTAAACTAAAGCCTTATCAATAAATATACCAAATTTCATAAACACATAACATGTCTTAATAGACATGGTTGGCATAATGCCAAAATTTATGCCCTATTGTATTGCCTTATCATTCAAATTATGGTCCATAAACCAGCAGCAATCTTAGCATCACCTAGGGGACTTGTTAGAAATGCAGAATATCAAGCCCCATCCAGATCCTAAATGAGAATCTCTACTTTCTTAACAAGATCTGCAGGTAATTCCTACCCACATGAAAGTTTAAGAAGCAATGGTTTAATGGGTCAGTTGGATCTAAGGAAAGCTTTGTAAGAAGCTATAATTCATTTAATTAATTCATTCAACAAGTATTTACTGAGACCTCAGCAATAGGAAGGAATTTCTTTAAACGTAACACCAGAAGCATCACCATACAGGAAAATACTGGTAACTGAGATGTCATTAAAGATGAGTGGTAAAGCAAATCATAGAGTAGACAATATTTGCAACAATAACAAAATGAAAAGTTGGGTACCTAAATATGTGCCAGGAAGTATGCTAATGCTTGGGGTAGAACAATGAAACTAAAACATCTCTACCCTTGTGGAATTTACATTCTAACTAATGAAGGCATAAACAAATTGAGTAAAATAATGCAGGGGGTTGGTCCAAGGGGTTGCAATTTGAAATATGGCAGACAGAAAACTCCACACCAAGAAGTTAAAGAGCCATAGATGGTCACGGAGCTAGCTGTAACAAAATGTAGGGAAAGTGTTCCAAGCCAGAGAACAGAGAGTACAAACAGCCTGAGACAGGAGAATGCTGAAAACAGCAAGAAGGCCAGTGGGGCTGAGGAAAAGTAAGCAAGAAGAGAAGGAGGTATGCAGGGGACTGAATCATGTAGGGCCTTGTCAACCATTTTAAGTATTGTGGCTTTAACTGTGAGATGAGAAGCCACAGGAGAAAAGATCGTAGGGGGCCACACAGGATGCTGAGCAGGCAAATGACATAATGAAAAGAGTTGTTCAGACTGCTTTCCTGAAGGTAGATGGATGGTTTAGTTGGAGAATCCAGCTGAGACTACAATGTTCTAGTCACAGTATACTGTACTTCTCAGGTGACAAAGATGTACCAAGTGGTGTGGGGAAGATATAAGCTAGGGTAATAACTACAGGAAGTGCCAGAGGAAGCTGAATATAAATGACATTGGAGGGCAGAAATCCCTGGATATAATGACAGATTATTCATAGAGAAATGACACATAAGTTGGAAAAATTAGTTTGATCAGTGTTTAGGGTTCATCTATTGACAGCAGAACCATGTGCTGACTCAGGGGGTGAGGATTGCTTGCTTAGATCCCACCCTATACCTTACAAGTCTGAATTGCTTGAATTTTTGAAGCTGAGACTAGCACTTGGACTATGTGATCTAACAGATCAAGAATTTTTTTTAACTTTGGAATTTGTTCCCTCTCCTGGAATCAGGGGCCACAGCACCTCACCTGATTAGTATAAAAAGATAGATTTTGTTTGGTAGCAGAGACAGCAGAAAGGTCTTAAAATGTTTGTGTGGTTTGGCACTGCAGACTGGTAGAGTCCCTCTGCTCTGTTTCTGGGTATATGACCTGGTGGCTGTCCCACTCTGCCATTCCTTTCTGTAGAAGAGGCCTCAAAGGATGGAAAGAAGAAAAAGCAATCTTAGGAAAACAACTGAAAAAAAAAAAGAATTTGAAAATTGCCTACCACAAGACTGCAAGGTCTAGAGAGCAGAAGTAAATGCAATGCAAATGGTATGTAAATAGCTCAGTGGCCTTCTAAAAGGTTTTAGACAACTGGAAGGCCCCTGGGAAACTGCTAGCAGATAACAGTGACTCAGAAGCAGAGTGAACTATTTCAAGACAACTTTGTCACATAGACCTTTGCTGGCCTGCGAGCACACTGCACATTCTTTAATGATCTTTTTTCGCACTTGAATAAACCTCACCTGCTAATAAATCAAAATATATTGTCTGTCCCTGTAGAGGTCATTTAAGTTAATTACACTTTTAAGATACACTATACCATTATTTTTTCTTCAAGTGCCCTTCTTACCCAAATAAAGCCAAGTTAAATGTGCCACTTCTTCCCTTGAACATTATGTGGCTCCAGTGGATTATGAATGAAAGTGCCTCTCTTTCAGTTCTAGTTACTATGATTCTTTAGAGTTTTTCCCTGTCTACTCTGCAGGAACTGGCGTATGCTGTATTCAAAGTGAATCCAGAAAAAAGAAACTATATATAGTTTGTGAAATCCAATTCGTTTCAAGGAGTCACTGAAAAGCTATTCATCAGGAAGACACGCCGTCAAGAATGTTGTGGTTTTGACTGTCCCAATTACACATTTTAATATGAAAAATGCACATTTGACCAAAGTGGGGGTACGTTTCTGTCTACATTTATATATTTGAAAAAAGAATGTTCCCCTTAGATATGCATTTGATAAGAACCGCTGTACAAACTAAATAGCAAGATATTAATTATATTAGACCAACAGAGGAGCAATTTTCTTGTTTACAGAACCTGGGGTCCTAGCAGCAACTCACCTCCACATCACCCCTGCAAGTTCCCTTACTTTTCTAGTACTTTTAACTTTGGAGGGTGCCCCAGATCTCGACAGCAGGGTCAAAAGAAAGGAAATCCCTTCTTTTTTGGGGGAGGGTTTTGAAGTCTCAGTCGAAAGGATCACACTGTCAGTCCCCAGAAAGCTACTGGGCAAGGAGGAATCTTGGATGAGGAACAAAACGTCTAGAAATCCCAACAAAGGAGAGGCTGAAAAACAGGGGTAGGAAGTGGGACAAAGGGACAAAAGCAGAAGATAAATCTTAAGAGACCAAAGAAATGACAGGGTCAGACAAAGAGTAACAGAGAGACAGAGGACAACATTCAGGGGCGGTGCTGCGGGGACAGGGATGCCGGGGTAGCGCCGGGCAGGCGACGAGCGCCCCTCCGCGGCCGGGGCTGCCTCTTACCTCCTGGGCGAGTTTCTGCTTGAGCACTAGCGCGGCACACAGGTAGCCCGCGCGGCCCACAAACAGCTCATCGGAGCCGCACTCCAGGAAAGAGACAGGCGCGCAGACTGTGCATAGAGCCCGGAACTTGCCCAAGGGCTGCACGTAGTCGGACCGTCCCAGAGCGTGGTACACGAGTGTGGCTACTGCGTACACGCCCGCGCCCCCGAGCAGGAAGGCAGCGCGGGTGTCGGCGTCCGGCTCGCCCCACTCCTCAGCGCGGGCGCACGCGTCTATGAGGCGCTTGGCGGAGCGCAGGTAGCGCTCCCGGGCCGCGGCGAAGAGCGGGCTCTGCGAGACGTGGTAGAGCATGTAGGCCACCCCGGCCACGCCGCTGTACAGTCCCCCCTGGCAGCTGCTGTCCCCGGCCGTTGCCCCCCTGGCCTCAGCGCCGCCCCCAAGCGGGGGCAGTTCCTGGAGGATGCGCTCGATGGTGGCGGTGACCAAGGGCGCCACCGCCTCCTCGCACTGGCCCGCCAGCAGGCTGCCCTGGTAGTCATCGAAGCGGTTGGCGAAGCAGCGCTTGGTGTCCATGCTGTTGCCCGTGCCCTACAATGTCGATCTGGGGACCGCTTAAGGGTGCGCCCTGCCACCCCTGCGCACGACCTCAGGCTCCCTGAAGCACTCGGATGACAGCGGATGCGGCGGGGATGGAGCGAGAAGGGTGAGACAGGAGGTGACAAGAGGAGGCGGGAGCGAGAAAGAAGCAAGGAGCGGATGGCCAAGTGGGGCACCAGGCTGCTGCGAAGCTCTGGAGTGGCCCTGGCGAACACGGGGGATGCGCGTCGTGCGCCCCCCTCCCAGAGGCTGCGCGCCCCCTCCTGCGCCGCCGCAGCTCTGCCGCCTCTCCCAGGGGCCGAGGTGGTGTCTAGCAGGACCCACGCGGGGCCCGCGCCACTCCTCCCGCTCCGCCCTTGGCTCCTCCCCTCCCGGCGGAAGGCCAGGGACGTGTGGGACAATCTGGAATGCTGAGACCGGGAATTAGCACACCTGGCAGTGGAGGCGATGACCTCCAGTCCCTTGTACACTTCGTGTGTGGTGCTCAGGTCAGAGAGATGAGCGTCACCTGCGCGCGTATAAAAACCGAAACATCTCAGGCTTCGCTCTCAACCGACTGAATATTTAGCAAGATTGCTAGGTAATTCGAATGCACGTTCAAGTTTTAGAAGCCACTGAACTAGGCTGAGGAATCAGGGAAAAAAATAACGGAAAGCCCCGCTAAAATGAATGAAACTTTAAAGTTTATATTTTGTTTGGGGCACTTCGGAGTTTTCATCCTCTTTGTATCCTAAAGGCTAGGGAATTCGTGTACATTGTGTTTCCTGTCATAAAGCCAAAATGTCTCAGTAGGGAAATTTTTTTCTCATCCTTGCTTATTTTAGTTGTTGGTTTGCTCTGGTTTGGTTTTCTTGGAATATACAAGATTAAAAACCGAAAGATTCACACCAAGTTAAGGCAAAGGAGTAGGGTCTGCCCTACCAGCTTCACTCCCCACCCCAGTGTGTACAGGTAGAGGTCAATAACCAACTAGTTTGTACAGTAGTCCCCCCCCATCCTTGCTAATGTAGTGTGGGAAAGGATTTAAATTTGCCAAGATTATAACCAGGACTGACACATTCACATAGTCCAGGGATAATTTGGCTGTCATCCTCTGATAGTGCTACCAAAATAGGCTAATTTTTGCTACTACAAATGATGATGATAATAATAATAATGATGATGGTAATGCAACTAAATCCACTTTACACAAAGAATTTGAGACGTTGAAGGAAAATAGGATATCAAAAGAGGAAATGGCATGTTTAATCCTGAGGTGTCCTTCTTTGTACCTCAATTGGAATAGGCATTAATGTTCAATTTTTCTCCTCTGAAAAAAGTACAAGACTTTGCAGGCAGAAATGGAGCCTTATTCCACTTCATCCCCACTACACCTCACACTATTGGAAATCTAGAGGCAATTATGATAACTCAGACTTCCACACACCCTACCCTAAAGGTGGTATCAGCAGCAATGACAAGGACCTGTGCTGATGGACTTATTTTATTTTATTTTATTTTGGTACCGGGAATCGAGTTCAGGACTTTGCGCTGTAGTGCTTGTGCTCCTGGGCTGTATCCCTGGCCCAGACTTCAAAATAGAACTGTAAACATATCACCAAAAGAAAGAGCTCTGCTTTTCCTCAGCTTTGTCACTTGTCTATTGTTCTTAAATGCTGTACAATGATCACAAACTCTCATGGAATCTAAAAAGTTTATTGTTTGCACATCTATAATCTTGGCTAGACTCAAAAATGCATCTGGATGTGGCTGGCTCTTGTTTAAGGAGACTAAAGCAGCTGGGCCTGCATATTCTTTGCCCTCCAGCAGGCTCACCCTAGCATGCTTGTCTGGCAATGGTAGAGGGCCAAGAACAAAGTACAATTGTGCAGGCTTTCTCAGAGTCTAGTCTCTGAACTGGCATACTCTTTTTTTCTGTCTCACTCTATCGGCAAACCATATGAGGAAATAGCAAGCGACTTTGGAGAACTCCAAAGTTCCATGACAAAGAGTGTGAATACGTGGCATGGGATCCTAGAGATTGCTTTTGGACATTGATGGAAACAAGTCGACCAATGCTCAAAAGATGTATATAAAACAAATGATGTGAAGCAAGAAGTTAAAGACATCCAGAAGCCTTCTTGAACTCACAAAAGAACCCTTTAACCTGTATAATGCTTTCCGAAAACTCTCAGTACTTTATCTGCTGCACAGTCACCTGCCAAATCTCCATCCCCAAATATCCTTTACACTGGAGCAAGCTGCTTAAACACCATGAAGCCACACCTCTAACTATCATTTACCTAATTTGCAAGCAGTGTTATTTATTTTATCAGTATTGCACTGTTACAATACACTCTTCATGAATGTAGGGATTTTTTTTTGTTACCTTTATTTACTGATGTGTAACAAGACCTTAGAGTAGTTCTTGACTACTCTATCTCTACTACATGTGGTAGGTGCTCACTAAAACTTTTTGTAATGAATGAATTAACATGAGAATATTATCATTAAAGTACTCTGGAGTATAAAATACAAAATGAGGTCTTCATTAAAATTTAAATTGATGTTTACACCACTATAGTATGTTGGATCCTTATGCTCTTTCTTGTACATGCAAGAATATAAAACTTCTGCAGTTTCTGCATTCTAATTTGTCTGTTTCTCCAGAAGGTCTGATGACCTCTACACTTTACCTTGAATTTGGTGACTTCACACATTCTATTTTTACTGACTAACCCTGTATGACAGATACATTTTCCAAATATGGCCACAACAGTATCTCATATACCACATGCTCTTCTACTATCAATGTGACCTTGACATTTCTCTCTTTAGGAGGTAGGCACATGTTTACTCTTGAATTTCAGTACTCTTGTAATTCTCTCAAAACCAGTAGACTATAATAGAAATCTCACTGAATGTCATAAAAGGCTAAGACATAAAAGAGGATGTAGCTTCTGCCCAATATCTTAGAGCACTTGCATTTTGACCCTTGAGTTACCTTGTAAGAATCTGACTGCTCTGAAGCTGCCATATTGTGAGGGAGCCCAGACAACATGAAGAAGCCACATGAAGGTGCTTGAGAGTATCACACAGCTGACAGAATGAACTGACAGATATGTGATAGAGCCACTTTGGGTATCTAGCCTGGTACATCTTTCATATAATTGCAGCTTCAAGTGAGAACCACTATCTCAAAGGCTTTCAGATTTTTGGATTTGAAAAATTATGAGCGAAATATAACATTTCATTTAAGCCTCTGGGTTCTATGATAACTTACAATGCAGCTATGATAACTAGAACATCCTGCCAGTTTCTTGTTATACAATGCCACATAAGGCCCGTCTAATCAAGAATATCTGGTCAACAGGGCAATAAGCAGTTGAGAAGAGAAATATTTCAGAAAAATATAGAAGACGGAGGGTACAGGCACTCAGAAAATTGTATTATTCCACAATGATATTTCCAGTTGAATTTCTAAAGTTACTAATGACTCAACAAGAAATATGCAATCTATGCAATATCTTGCAAAGTCCTTTTACTTCACCCCATCTGCAAGATTTGTCCTGATAGTTACAGAATTTCTCACAGCACTTTATAGCAGGTAGCTCCCAACACATGGTTTCCAGGATCTTACTGAATTATACAGTTTCTAGTTCTTCTTCAGTATTTCCTTATTATGCAAATTATATAAAATTATGGATGGAAAATAGTTTTAGAGGTTTCATCAAGTAAATTACATAAAAGTTATGCAAAACTACCAAAAAGAAAGAGTATTAGGGGCTGGGAATTTAACTCAGCGGCAAAAGCGCCTGCCTGGCAAGCGCAAGGTCGTGAGTTCGGTTCCCGGTACCGGAGAAAAACCAAAAACCAAAAAAAAAAAAAAAAAGAAAGAGTATTAAAATCAAAGTGCTTCTCTCGTGCAAATCATTGCTATCTAGGAGTGAATCTGAAAAAAAATCAGCACTTATATAACTGTCAAACTGCACCCCTTAAGGTTTAACACATTTTATTAAATGAGCTATTTTAAAAAGGCTTTCAGAAAGTTTTCCAAAGTTTTTCTCAAAGGACGCATCCTGGAAATGGTTGAAATAACTGAATTGTGCTACATCTGGTCCTTATAGCACGTCCTTGGTGGAGACTCATCCCTAACTTATTAGATTAACAAACTAATTGGAGAATTCTTCTGCTCTCTCATCCTACACAAGCTCTTCTCAAAACAGCAGCCAAAGCAATAAGTCAGATCCTGCCTTTTGACATACCAATATTTTGTATGCTCCCCCAAGGGAAGTCCAGAGACCATAGATTGGCCTACTAGGCCTAGAGTCACCTGACCCTCATTACTTCCACAGCCAGTCTTCCTATTCCTCTTCTACTTACTCGTTTGCATCTTGTCATACTGGCCCCCTTATGTCCCTAAAAGGTACTAGTTTGTATAATACAGAGTTTCCTCTTCTTGGGGGTTTTCTTTAAAAGGTATGTTCATGACTTGCCTCTTCACTTTTTTTCACTGTGTCTTTTCTCAATCTATTATTTTAAATGGGAAATGCTACTATTTAAAAAGTAGAAGTTATAATTATCAATTTTGCTTCTCATGTCTTTCTCACCACTAGATTGTAATCCCCTTGCAGACAGGAATTATTGCCTATGCTGTTACTTGCTGTATCCGCAGAATCCAGACCAAGGTCTAATATAATATGTGTTCAGTAGCTATTTATTAAGCTCTGAGATACCCTTCAGAATGCCCAAATCTTCTACCTATCAATGGTTTAACTTTACTATCCGCTTTTTTGACTAGTTTCTTGATTGTTTTCTTCTACACCAGTCATAAAAATTTGCATTTTAACAGTATTAGATTATTTTTTCTTGTCTTTTTTCCCCACTATCTCCAGCATTATCAACTTTAAGAATTTTGTGGTCATTATACATCAGTCATAATCACTAAAAAATGTAATGGGGGGATTAGAAACCAGGTACAATAAGCACGCAAACTGATGCCCTCACCACTACATCTGAGGAGGGGTAACTCAGTTTTACTAGTCACACTGGCCAAGATAAAATGATAGTAAACACTGCAGCTTACCAAATATGAGAAAAATATAACAATTATAATT